ATTTTTTATTTTAAGATTTACAGATACATTACAGTAATTTTCAAAAAAAATTAGCAGCGCCAAGCTTTTTAACTAAAATTTTTCTATTTTTTTTGGTTAAAATATTTCTAAAGACCAAATGTGACGAGCGATTATATGGTTGACAATAATATCAAATGAGATATATATTTTCTATTTTATATCATACACTTTAATTCAAATAAGATAAATGTCAATCATAATAACTCGACACATTAGGTCTTTTTAAATCATTTGTTGCGTTACAATATATATAAGCCATATGTTTAATTAATTGTTGATTATAAAATATTTCTATGAAAAAAATATTTAATATAAATTAATAATAATTAAAAGATTTTATAGTATAAAGGATTTTATTTGTCGCAATTTTTTGATATCATTATTTTTTTTAGAAATATTTAATCATTTTGTGAAATAAAATATATTGCATAAAATTAAAATGACATTTTTTAGAGCAGTTTTTTATAGTAATTTAACAACATTGGTTTTTTTATAACACTTTCTCATATGAGCGCGTAAACTTGTCGCCCTTTTTTTACCTTTTTTTTAAAGCGGTAAGGTTTTTTGTGGATACATTTTACCTGTAAGAATAGCGGATAGCGTTGCGACATCAGGTAAATAAAAATAACGGGACTCGAACCGTTCTTTTAAGGAGTTGGAAAATCGCATATGTCGAAACGTACTATTATATTCAAGAATTCGTAAACGACTGCAGCTGCCACAGTAGCATTGTTCAGATAAAATTTTCCAGCTTGGCTAACATGAATTTTCTTTCGAATTTTCAAAAATATTTTTAATTTCTGCGTGAATGTTGCATTTTGTAATGTATATCGATGTTATATATAATAATTATAGCGTCAAAAATGAAAAATAATAGTAAATAATAAAATAAAAATTATATCACGTCTTTAATAAAAATAATTTAAATAAATATATTACAGAATATGAATATATAACTTATAATGAAGCATCGTACTTTGTAGCACATAACAAAGGTCGTAATCAAGTAATAAAACGTAGAATAGCTGCGACGTCCAATCTTGGATGTTATATTTCTCGCAATTTTTGTCGCATTTTACAAAAGTTAATGTTTTTTTAAAATTATATCTTAAATCATCACCGTTTTCATTTTAAAGACAAAGAAACACTTTCTTTGCATTTTTTTTAAGTCTCATCCTATATATCATATCTAAATGATGTACAAAATCGGAAAAAATGTCTCTAGAAAAATACATAAATTTGCTACATTTAAAAATCTGGCGACAAATTTGCGTCACGAATAATCTTTTCCTTTAAAAATTTTATAGAGCATAGACTTTCAAATAAGCATCAAATTTCCGAACACAGCACTGAGTCAGAACCAAATATTATGGTTGGAAAAGGATTTCGAGAGGAATTTTCCATTCTATTCAATGTTCTCTTTGGGTTCAAGCAGACAGTCCTGCGTCGCGTCGTCTGGAGTAAAAGTACAATTATGTTGTCCCCTCCACTCGCTTCATCGATGCCTCGCCCATCCTTCTTGAACCAGGACCCTACATATTTTTGAATAAGTGGTAAAAACGACTTCTCTTGTAATCTATTATATAATGTTGTTTAATATAAAATGTACATATTCATTATAAGATTTTATTATCATAAATAATAAACACATTTTTCCACATTGTAATCTACAATTTAATACAATTTCACGTTTTAAAATTAAACAATTATGACGACAATAGGATTCTAATCAATTTTCATTATCTTTCAATTTTCAGCTTACAAATAATTTGTAATTCAAAAAAGCTGTCTAAATGACCTTTCTAAATGATATCGAAATATTAACTGATTAAGGAACGTTATAAATTTCTTATCATCTTCTCAGTGTATTAAAAAATCTTGAATTTTACATAAATTTACATATTTTCGTATAACGAGCAAAGATAATTGTAATTGTGAAAGATGATTGTAATGCTGCGAAATCATTGAATTTATTATTACGCGCCATTTCTGGCATCATGGATATCTTTTATTACATTTATTATGTGATGGATGATAATAGCTTATTTCGATATTTTTCAAAGGTAGGAAGGAACAAGCGGACACAGAGTTTTCGTTCAAGACGATTGCAATATCTTCTAAATGTACTGCTACAATTCTATTCTTTTTTTGTATTCTTATGCTTTCGACCTTTCTTTAGTTAAATTAAAAGATATAACATTTCTAACGCTAACTGTTTGAGGCCAAAAAATATGTTTTTTTCTTAGCCCCGCCATAATTAAAGAAAATATCAGGAATATATATCATCTATTATAAATAAAAATTATTTTTAAATTAAAATTAAGGCTCCAATAAAAAAATACAAATTTCAAAATAAATAATTAATAAAGGCTAATAAGCTGGAAAAAACTCTTTATATTCGAATTTGTATTTGTATATATTAGAGGTTTACACTTTTAATTATTTTAAAATAATACCTCTTTATAATATTTAATATTTAATATTAATTAACAAGCTCGATAGTTAAAAGTATAATATTCAATTTTTATTAGGCCTTTTTCAAGTACGAAGTTAGAATAAAATAAAATAAAAAGACGTAAATATCAAATGTAACATTTATTAGAAGTGGAACGTTTCGTACTTTTACTTAAGACTTCTTCAGCCGCAATATACAAACGCTATAAACATAATATAAAAATTATACTATAATAATTTTAAGAATATCAAATTGTACGTGGGTGTTTTCTACATAATTAAATAAAACTCACCAATTTAACTTTGTCCAAGTTAAAATAAATAAATTTAACAGTGTGTCAAATGATAAAGATTATTCTGTATGTATACGTATCAAAATTATTCAGTGTATAATAATCACGTTTACTTAACAATAACAATTGAGTTATGAACAGACAATGACATCAATCTTAAAGCAACGGTATTATATATACTAAGCAAACAGTGACGAAAGGATAATGACAATCATGTTGTATAATTTTGTTTATTAAAAATAGAATCTAATAACGGAAAGTAAGAAGAATCTAAATGTTTGCTATCTTCTGTTGCATTTAGACCATTGTGTTGTTGTTTTTACAGTTACATACAATCACATAACGGAACTATATTTACAACACTACAAAAATATATTTATTTTGAAGAAAAGAATGTCTGAAGTACAAATTAGAGCAAAAATTATTTTATGAAATAGTCTCAATAATATACCATTAAAAAAAGTCATTTATAAATTTAGCATAAACTGCATAACATTTTCTTAGTTTCTGAATAAGTATATTATCAGGGTTTAGTACGTAAAAAATATTTTAAAAATATTTTAATCACATGATTGTTTCGAAAAAGTTAACAAATTTGATAAAGAATAACAAAAAAAGTGAAAATTATAAAACACAAGAATGCCAGCTGTAATAGTAATAGGTGTGTGTGTGTGTAGTAGTGGTAGTAGTCCTTAATATATTTAAGTTATAAACAAAGAGAAAGTAAAAGATCGACTAATCTAGGGAGACATTATGTGGATCTTGATGTGACAGTGAAATTGCGCGAGCTTACGCTGATATTTAGCAGCGGCGCGTGAAATGAATGTATTTAATAAAAAAATATCTTTTCATTGTTATAGACTGACTTATGATAAATGAAATGAAGTGATGTTATACGTTAAACTCAATGTATGTTTTAAATTAAAAACTGACTTTATATGATAAAGTTGGAAAATATTTTTAAGATCTTTCAATGCTTATATTATATAGATATAAAATTGAGCAGATTTTAAAGTATTTTCTGCTAGTATTTTTTTAAGATAAAAATTGCCTACAATAATATACAAAAAGGAAGTTTTATCAGTTTAAAAAATTGTACAATTTATTTTATTCTATTAGATAAATTTAATAAATAAAATTCATACAATTAAATATGTACATAATATAATTTAAGATTGACTTTTGGTGATCAATAAAATTATATTTGTTTAAATATGAATTATATATGTTTTATGATTAAAAAAATTAGTATTATTAATAAATTTATTATACATATACAATCATAAATATATTATACAGAGATATGATATACTGTATACGTACAATAAACATTCTTTATGCACATAAAAATATTGCTTATATAAATATATATTACATTATAAATACATAAAGAATATGTTTTATATTATAGATGGATAGAATAGTTAATTAACTCTATCATTATAAAAATCTAACAGGTATTACGATTTATATGCTAATATTTGTACAATATCGAATAAATCGTTACATTCTGGATCATATTTTGGGTCATTGGCATATGAAGATCGATCAAACTTTTTTTCCATTTTGTTCCATTTCTTTTTTAATATGTCCTTAAGGTCTTGCTGTTGTTCAGGTGTCAGTTCATGTATGAAAGGAAGCTCAAAGACGATATCCGCTGAAATAAATAAATTCTCATGAAAGATTTGCACATAAAAGAGTAATTATGTTAGTGACTTTTTCATCACACATTACTGTTAAATAGCTTAATTAAAAAAAAATTTAATTTGTTAATTAAAATCTTATCATTTATAATAAAATAATAATACTTACGTAAAATATAATCAGATTTATATATTATATCCTCTGTTTGACAGTACTTTATTTTAAATTCTTGGCATTCAATCAATTGTCTTAAGTAACCATCGGCATTAACGTGAGAATAATGAAAATCTGAAACGTATTTCTGCATGTGACATGAAAATATAAAAATAATAATTAAAAATATGTAACAGATGGTTAGAAAATAGTACATATTTAAAATATATTAACAGATACATACCATAAAATATTTTCCATAAATTGGATGATTCAGCATTTTATTATACAATCCAAATGCGTCATGTGCGAGGACCATTGTCAAATGGAAGCATCCTCCACGTTTCAGTAGTTTAGATATATTTTTAATTTCTTGCCTATTAAGTAAACAAAAAAGAAGTTATTTTCTAAAAGTTACATATTTATTGGAAAATTTTAATAACACGCTAAGAGTTTGTGATACGGCGTCACTCCCGTCACCGTTCGTATGGTCGGCATTCCGCACTGTGCGCTACGTCCCCCGGCCACGAGTCCCGTCGCCTGATCGACTAGCCGACGATTCCGCAAGTCCACCAGGAGTCCGTAATAGGACAGAAAGTCCGCGCCGATAATCGGCCTCGACACATCTGCGAGTACAAATCGCCACGTAAAGTTCCGTCGTAATCCGAGATTCAACGTTAACGTCTCGGTTTCGTAGGTATGGATCACCGTTCCATTCGCTGCGGATAACTCGTACGTCGATTTCTGCCGCGGCCTACGCACCATCCTGCGAGGAAAAACGCATAGGTCTGCGCCTGTATCCACGAGGAAGTTAATTCGCGTGTCGCGGTCAGTCACGAACAGACGGCGCGAATCCTGGCCTTGATCACCGGCCGTCATCAGTGACGGGCCATCAGTCGCGTTTCCCTGCGGCTGTCTGGGACACGGGGGCTCACATCTTCGTGCGTCCGGTCCGAATCTCCAATGGTAGTAACACAGACCGTTTGACGCGTGACCACGGACGCGAGAGCGCGATCGCGAACGCTCCCGCCTGCGACGACCACCGCCGTCGCTCCGGCGAGGTTCTCGCTCTCCTAACGCCTTGATGCATTTTCGCAAGCCGGTCATTTGTTCCGCGAACTCTTGCTGCATGGCCATACGCATCTGTGTCATCTGCACATTGATCCTCGCTTCCAATGCAGCCATTCCGTTTCCGTCGGCACCCGCGAACGTCGTCGGCCGAGCCGCTTCCGCGACGTGCACCGCGGGCGCTCTCGTTGCCTCCACGATCGCGTCCGCCATATCCGCGAGCATCTCCAGCGTATCTCCCACGCGCGTTACAAGATGCGGCTGCAAATAAACAGGTAGTTGACTCAACCAAATGGTTCGCAGCACTTCATCCCCGACGACATTACCGGCGAGACCTCGAAGGTGCCGCAAAAATTGTGTCGGTTTGCGGTCGCCTATCTCCTCATGCTCCAGGAGCCGTCGCGTCTTGTGCTCCTGCGATAAACTTAGTCTTTTTATGAGCTCGCATCTTAAAGTTTCGTACGTGCGTTCCGCTGGCGGGTTCATTATTATGTCGCGTACCTCCATTGCGTGTCGCGGACCGATCGCCGTAAGAACGTAACCGAACTTGGTCGCGTCCGTAGTAATTCCAGCGGCCTGGAAGCTCCGATCTATGATATTAAACCACAGTTCCGGATCCTCGGAAGTAAATTTCGGCATTCTCATGCCTACGCGATTTACTTCGGCGCCCGCCATGAACAGGCAAGGTCGTTCTCCTGCTAGTTGCGACGTTCCTGGCACAGGCAGTGCACCTCGGGGCTGCTCGATTTGAATTAACGGGGGGGGGGGGGGAGGGGGCAGCCCCATCGTCACGCGTCAACACCATACTGTCACTTTTTCAAAATGCACTCTCCAAGATCCGTATCACGATTTGCGGCAATGTCCACAGCACTTCGCGTCACCTTGATCACGTCGGGGTCACCACTTTGGGAGCGCGTGTCTTAGTTCGATAATTACTGTTCTGCCAATATCGCGAATCGGGAGAGGATATGTTAAGACGGAATAATTATTAGGTGTTATACGGTATATTATCTTTTACTCCGTTTATTCGAGTTATACAAAATACAGACTTTTACTCTCCACCGAGGAAAACCGTGTATCGCGAGCGCGAGTCAAAATCTATCTGCCCTTCGAGGTCGCGCAATGTCTTGCTTCTCTCAATTTTTCCACGACCTTATTTTTATTTTTAGGTGATTAGCCTATCTATTATTTTGAAGAACTTTCGCTTTTTATTTTGTTCGGGAATCGAAATCTACCTTCGTCATGTTAGACGCTTATTTATTTATTTATTATTTTGTGTCACCGGTCGCGATATCCTTAACACTCGTCGCTTGTCATATATTTTTATTTCGTGTAAATTCTATTTTATATATATTTTAATATGCTTGTGGCATTTATCGCCACAATAGTATAATTTTTATATTATGTTTATAGCGTTTATATATTGCGGCTGAAGAAGTCTTAAGTAAAAGTACGAAACGTTCCACTTCTAATAAATGTTACATTTGATATTTACGTCTTTTTTATTTTATTTTATTCTAACTTCGTACTTGAAAAAGGCCTAATAAAAATTGAATATTATACTTTTAACTATCGAGCTTGTTAATTAATATTAAATATTAAATATTATAAAAAGGTATTATTTTAAAATAATTAAAAGTGTAAACCTCTAATATATACAAATACAAATTCGAATATAAAGAGTTTTTTCCAGCTTATTAGCCTTTATTAATTATTTATTTTGAAATTTGTATTTTTTATTGGAGCCTTAATTTTAATTTAAAAATAATTTTTATTTATAATAGATGATATATATTCCTGATATTTTCTTTAATTATGGCGGGGCTAAGAAAAGAACATATTTTTTGGCCTGAAACAGTTAGCGTTAGAAATGTTATATCTTTTAATTTAACTAAAGAAAGGTCGAAAGTATAAGAATACAAAGAAAGAATAGAATTGTAGCAGTACATTTAGAAGATATTTTGCTATCGTCTTGAACGAAAATTTTGTGTCCGCTTGTTCCTTCCTATCTTTGAAAAATATCGAAATAATCTATATATATATATATATATATTTTTTTTTTCCGTATTTCCGAAGGGTGAAGCACAACCCTCTTCTTCCCTGTTGCAAAAGCACCAGGGGATTCTATTCGAGCCTCCCGGTAGAGGCACGCGATCTAAGTCCCTAGCCGCTCTCCGATTTTTCAGGGGGAGGCGGACTTCCGTTCTGTCGGCTAAACGTAGCCCCGGAAATATTTACAGTACTGAAACACTCCCAGCCCGGCTGCCTCCGCGTTTTTATACGAGGGGGAAGACAGACCCCTGTTTGTATGATGTCTGATCACTCGAGGTAAGCTCAAGCAACCATCATCATCCTTACCCGTGTCCCCGCCTCCGCGTTTTTATACCAGGGGGAAGGCGGACCCCTGTTGCTGGCGATGTCAGCTTCTAGGAGCATGTCCCGTCACTTGACATCACCGCGCCCCGGTGGGCATCCGTGTCTCGAAGTAAATGACTCGAAGTAAGTGTGCTTCCGAATTTCCGGAGGATTAAACACAATTCTCACGACCATCTCCTTCCGCACCCTTTCAGGTGAGGGAGAAGACGGTCACGCGAGCAAACCCCAGGCGATCCAAGGGACAAAACCAGCAGATCACCCCGGCATGGCTCGAGTCCGCCGGTACATCACTGCTAGCCAAGTTCCACGGTGGAGCTGCACCTACCTGATTATCTCCCATCCTGGAGATGCAATCTACTAGCGAGGAGACGGTTGTTCCCAGGAGGCTTGCCGGTGCTAAGCCGTTTCCCCCCAAGCCACCGCCCCCCGTGAGTGCTTCACAAGTGAAGCACCCGTGCCGTTACTCCATAAGATTTGGGACTTGAGCCAAGCTATGGGTCCCTCCTCTTATGGACGGCCAATCCGTCGGAAAGTTCCTTCGGATTTGCGCCTAGTGCGCCGCGAGGCACCTTTAGGGTCCCCAGCTCCCCCGGCCACGGCTTAAGGACAATTGTCCCCGCTCTACAAGCCTAAGCGTTCGCCCGGCGTTTGAGCGTGACCGTAGCACTCGAGGGAGGAGCCGAAAAACCCCGCCAATGCCCAGAGATGTATGTTGGTACACACACTCTGCCCGAAACCATTGCCCCGCCGTTAACCGCCGAGGGGATACCTCGACGTTTCCAGCTCTCACCGCGTGGAGATGGGGATGGCACATGGACCGGCGTCCTTTGAGAGCCAAATAATCTATATTGACTTAACGTTGCACACTACATGTTAAATGTTGTGTGTAATTATATATTTTTCAAATTATAATAAACATATATTTCTTCTTTTATATTTATTTCCTGCAAGTAACTAACCGCGGATCACTATAAAAAGTCTTTTCACTTACGGGATTTGCGGTATGAGATCATGAGATAATTATGTTTAAATAATTAGTTATTAGCATTTATCATATAATAGATGTGATAACAGATATCCCTGATGCCAGAGATGACGCGTAATAATAATTTCGCAGCATTATAATTATCTCAATTACAATAATCTTTTTTCTCCTTATACAAAAGTATGTAAATTTATGTAAAATTCAAGATTTTTTAATACACTAAAAAGATGATAAAAATTTTATAACGTTCCTTAATCAGTTAATATTTCGATATCATTTGGAAAGGCCATTTAGACAGCTTTTTTTGAATTACGAATTATTTGTAAACTAAAAATTAAAAGATAACGAAAATTGATTAGAATACTGTCGTTGTCATAATTGTTTAATTTTAAAACATGAAATTGTATTAAATTGAAGATTACGATGTGGAAAAAGGTGTTTATTATTTATTATAATAAAATCTTATAATGAATATGTACATTTCATATTAAACAACATTATATAATAGATTACAAGAGAAGTCGTTTTTATCACTTATTCAAAAATATGTAGGGTCCTGATCAAGAAGGATGGACGGGGCATCGATGAAGGGAGTGGAGGGGGCAACATAATTGTACTTTTACTCCAGACGACGCGACGCAGGACTGTTTGCTTGGATCCAAAGAGAACATTGAATAGAATGGAAAATTCCTCTCGAAATCCTTTTTCAACCATATTTTTGGTTCTGACTCAGTGCTGTGTTCGGAAATTTGATGCTTATTTGAAAGTCTATGCTCTATAAAATTTTTAAAGGAAAAGATTATTTGTGACGCAAATTCGTCGCCAGATTTTTTTATGTAGCAAATTTATGTATTTTTTTATAGACATTGTTTTCGATTTTGTACATCATTTAGATATGATATTTAGGATGAGACTTAAAAAATGCTAAAAATGTGTTTCTCCCTCCTTAAAATGAAAACGGTGATGATTCAAGATATAATTTAAAACAAAACATTAACTTTGGTGAAATACGACAAAATTTGCCAGAAATATAACATCCAAGATTCGACGTCGCAATTATTCTACGTTTTACTTGATTACGAACTCTGTTATGTGCTACAAAGTACGATGTTTCATTATAAGTTATATATTCATATTCTGTGATATATTTATTTATATTATTTCTATTAAAAGCGTGATATAATTTTAATTTTATTATTTACTATTATTTTTCATTTTAGACGCTATAATTATTATATAACATCGATATACATTACAAAATGAAACAGTTACGCAACAATTGAAAACATTTCTGAAAATTCGAAAGTATTCATGTTAGCCAAACGAAATGCTGGAAAATTTTATCCTAACAATGCTACACTGTGGCAGTCGTTTACGAATTCTTGAATATAATAGTACGTTTCGACATATGCGATTTTCCAACTCCTCAAAAAAACGGTCCCGTTATTTTTATGTATCTAATGTCGCGACGCTACCCGACATTCTTACAGGTAAAATGTGTAGAAAAATTATAACTAGAGAGGCCGTAAGCCGAAATGTTTGGGCAATATACAGGGTGTTCCAGACATACCGTAACACACCTTAATGGAAGATTCCTGAGGCAATTTGGAGATGATTTTTCCGCAGCGAAAATGTCGAAAAAAGCCATCATTTTTTTAATGCTCCTAGTTTTTAATGTGTCTTTGTAACTAACAATAAACCTTAAATTAAACTTCTTAACTTAAACTTTACCTGAAATTAACTAAAAATTTAGTATTTTATTAATTTATTATTTGTTCTTCAAAAATAGACGAAATTTGGACAGTTGTAACCTCATCAAAATTAAGTAAAATTTAATCCAACGAGAGTTTCAAAGTTTATTATATTTAAAAGCTTGATATTTTTTTTAGTTTTTGTTAGTTCGATAATTTTTACATGTAAAAATCATTGTACAAAATAAGAAATTTTTATCTAACTTGAAAATCTACAGTAAACAGGCCAAAGACCTGTCAAACCAACTACTGACAAAACAGACATTTTTTTTCTTTTATTCTGAATGAAGAATTTTTGCTATAACAAGATACTGACGATGCATGGTTTTAAAACGTGTATAACACGTTATGTCTTAACGGTGGAAATCGCGGCGTACATGCGAGTTCGTTAAAATTTTTACTCAATTTTTATTCCTTAATTATTTTGAGAAGTGTATTATAATAACTATAAGAAACAATTAATTTAAAAGTATTGTCATAATTTTATTTCAATCAGAAATAGATATGTTTTATTTGTGCAATAAATAAAATTAAAATAGCGTAGAATAAATATAATTATAATT